CAATGTATTTAGAAGCGATGATTTTAATAACGATAACGGCTCGCGATAATTCTGCTTTTGAAATTCGCTTAGTGTTGATGCAAAAGAATGCTAATCCTGCTGTTGATCGACAATCACGTTGCGCATGCTCGAACTTTATGAAAGTTCTGGAAAGAACTTTCAAACGCACGTAAACTACAATTATCAATCTGTGAGCCTAGAGGTTAATTCAAACCTATAATATATATAATTCAAACATAACACGTTTTTTTTTTTCACGAATGATCGGCCGATATCATATACGTAGCTCAATTAATCGAATTCGCATTTTAATTAAAATTTAATCGTTGTGCGTATCGTATGAGTAAGCGCCAATACCGCAATTGCCTGATTTTGCAAGGGAGCGAGAGAAAGAGATACGCACGTCAGACATTATAGACCGACAGCCTGTAGCTGAACAAGTAATTCGCATGAGCTCGCGTTCAGTATTGAAGTTGCCAAGAGATTTATATGCGGTGACTTTTAATTTCATAACAAATTTATTTTCTTATATTACTAACTGGTTCTATCATATACGTTTTCTCGTCATTTGGAACTACGAACTTTTCCTCCATGTGCATTACAATATAATGCGCTCGTGATTATTTATGAGTTCAAGACTAACCGTATGCAATTATAGTACTTTTGCGCAGTAATGCATCGAGATTATCTACGATTAAGAAACTTTTATGTTAAAACTACATAGTATTAGTTTTAAAAGGCTATAAATGGTTACTGGTTTCGAATATTTGCGAGAATTGTAGGAAGTTTAACGGAACTGAATAAATAGGTTGATGTTTGTTATTCAACGAACGAATTTCTATATTTTTATATCAAAAAAGATTTATTCTCAATAAAACATCTAGAGAGCTTTTGATCAATTTCATTTTCCATTAAGAATCCGTCCTCGATTCAGTTGATTAAATGCAGTCTGTGAACGCGTGCCGTTGTACAATGAAAAACAGATGAAATTATACCCGCCGAAAGTAGTCACGCGCCTGCCTCACCTCAAACAGCATTGCGTGTCTCTATTGAAAACCAAAAAACCGCTGCTAATATAATGGTAGTAAAAAAGGCAAAAAAAGGGAATTAAGTTCACCAAACGGCAGCACGATAGAGAGTTCATTGAGAGCCTAAAGAAAACGCGCAAACACTTGCGCGAAGACCATGAAAAGGGCGATTAAATCACAAGAAAGGTGACGCACCAACTTTCCCACGAGTAGGCACTGCTGCTGCTCTTTCTTTTTTTTGCATAGGGAAGTGGAGGTGACCCAGTATCGAGCTTCTGCTGCTGCTGCTGCTGCTGCAGCCGCTGCTGCTCCTCCTCCTCACAAATGTATATACATGTAACTCCTACGTGGATATATACACGTGAAGGAGGGGACAACACGAACGTACATAGCGGTACCTGTCGGTTGTGTCTTGAGAAGAGACCCCCGTTGCGACGAGAGCAACGGTGGCGATGGCGGTTGCGCGCTATACCCGTACCGTATATACCGCCAATGCTTCTACATAGACAATTAGACTCTTCTCCAGATATGACCTCGATATCTGTACTGCACTTGCTACTGCTGCACGACCGTTAATGACATAGAGCACTTCAGTGATGACTTTGTGGTTTTAATCACTCTTTCCGATCTTCCGCGTTTTATATACAATTTCCCAAAGGGGACCGACTTGAGCTTCAAAGCTAGTTTTACTAACGGTAATATATGTCTAAAGCTGATTTTATTGGCAGGTGATTTATGACGATACCGGTGCGTATCTAGTATCGCATTAAGAAATTTGTTTACAGTTTGAAGATTTTCTTCGTGAATTAGTATGTCAATGATATTTATAATATTTATTATACGCTATGAATAAATTGTTACAGGAAACAGATGATAATTATCTTACCCTTCATTTGTTTTACTTCTTATTTAACTTATGGAGTTTTTTCTAAGGTACCTACAATATTCAATTTTCAGTGAATACTAAGGTATGATATTGATACAAATGCAATTAGAATTACCCAATAGTTTACGGATCGAAACCTAAATTAGTTCAAGTAGTACTGAGAAATCGTTTTACCTCGATAAAATTGGATTCCACGCAGTAATAGTTTTGTATTGAGAATTGAAAAGTAAATTTATTAATTTTACATAAATTAGATAGAAATAGCCTCAAAAAAGGAAAAACAATCTCTAACGAAAATGGTTACTTCATGACTAAATTTTTATAATTCTAATTGATTCTGATTTAATGTTTAATATTTCTAAAAATAAAAATTATGTATATAGTTTGGTGAGAAACTATTACGTAAACGTTGCATAATGCTCGAAAACATTTGATTTATTTTAATACTTTGTCGCCTTATATGTAAAATCTGTGCAAATTTTATTGCTTACAAAAAGAGTATTCTACCAATTTACAGTTCGATGCATTCTATACAAGCTTTACAGTGAACTACACAGATATTTCGGTATTTTATGTATTCCCAAATTTTCTTCTTAGACCAGCATAAGTCTCCAAGTTTATTTTACTAATGCGGAAATATAAAGCTGACTTAATTGGAAAGTGATTTATTATGTAGACAGATTTATTTATGAGAAAATTGTCTCTATTGATTGTCGATTAAATTTACGATATTTACTTTTCATTCTAAATAAGTTATTCGATTTCATTATAAAAAACTGTAGAAATTGTTTCATCGTATAATTTTTTATTTCTTTACAATTGAAAACTTAACATGGATATACGTAAGATTAGCGTTTACATATTGAAATTAAACGACTTTCACATGTAAAAGTATAATCTTAAAAGTTAGTTGTACTAAACAAAGATAACTATATAATGGAATTAAGTAGTACGGCGCACGTGCACCGATAAGCTTAATTAATAACACAAAACTGTTCACTGTAATTCAAATACTATCTTATTATTGAAATGAAAATTCTTATCTCCTGATCCAAATAAGAAATATATATAATTCAGTACGGTACTTTCACCACAATTTCACTTGCAATTTCTTTAAATAATGAAACTGGCTAGTGTATTATATTAGAATTGAAGTCAGGATCTACTTATTTATGTATAGAATTCATATGAAATCATATAAGTGTTCCTGAATTCGCAAAGTGGAGAAGGATACGTAGTCATTATCGCAGCACAACGAAAATTTTGATTTGTAACTTAGAACTTTATTAGCGTGTAAAACGCGTCACCTGCGTTCAGCTGATTTACTACACGCTCATAATTAGAATGTGGCATTAAATTTTAAGTGCAAATGATGTCGTGCACACCAGTATAATGACTCAAAGAAACTGAGCCACGATATAATAGACACTCATACTTGGGGCATTCAATAATTCATGAAACGAACCACATTCATCCGTGTCTGGCCGCGAAGCAAACGAAACGAGCTTAGTATGTAGTTCGACTCAAAGTCCGCGTTTCGTTGAGTTGTCGCGATGTATGTGTCTTGTTGGTTTCGTTTTGATTGCTGTCTCTCGTTGCTCGCGGACTTCGATCGCTGGATGACAGGTTAATCGGAGTGAGTGCGCGCGTGCGGATGACGAGAGATACATGGAAGAGACACGCCTTACTACCTACAACTCGCGGGCAAACTGGTTTCCGGCTGGCCAAATCGAGATACCCGCAACGCGGATAAAGACGCACGAAGCGTGGTCGAGTCATCTTCTTGCACGCTTTTTTTGAAGCATTTTGCTCGTGATTTATATGGAATCGTGCGTGGCTGTACGGAAGATACCTTCCTCTTGTTTTTTTTTACCAATGGGCGGCATGCTTTTTAAGCTTACGTGCCACGATCGATCTACACCCGATAGACGGACGGTTGGGTGTTGTCTTGTGCGTTGGTTACTGGGTCTCGGATGTCTGTACCGGTTTAAATTCTATGGGCTAAATAGACGCTCGCGTTGATTTAGCGCGTGCTGCTTTTGTCGTTAAGAAGATCACGTATTTTTTAGAAGTTGTAAGAACTGAACTTTTACTTTTTTCCACTCGTTTGCTTAGACAACTTGAGCACGGTGACGGATATATTTATCAGATTATAATCTTCTTTATCAAAATGTATAATTTTTTTAATGTAACATTCAAGTAATTATTTCAATAATATTAGTGTTTTGATGTAATAGAAAACGTACGCGTTTGACACTAAAAATCCGTTATGAAAAAATGTACCAATAAAAAAAATTATTATCTTTAAGAGGTCGAAATGATTCCAATTCGGGTTAATGCTTTCTCATTACATAAAATATGAATAAATATCTTATTTTTTAAGCAAGGAGAAAGTTGACTTGATTATTGCAAAAAAATTATTAGTTGAATTATCTCGTTATCAATTTATTTTTGAAGTATCTTAGAAATAAAATTACTCCTTTAAATAAACGAAGTATTAATTATTAATTAAAAAACGAGGTATTATTAATAACAATAGAAAATAACTGTATTTAATAACTTATATTAAATCAAAACAATCTAATATAATATTGTGATAATTAATTGAAGTCACTTTATTAAATAAAAATAAAGAAGTGTGATAATGGTTTACAATAACTGGGTAAATCGTCGATTTAAAGGAGTGTAATAAAATATTACAATCCCAAATGACTACAACGTAGATGACTTTCGTGTGTGGCAAATACAAATATTCAATATTTGAAAAATGAAAATAATCTTATATAATGTAATACATCGAATAAATTTAACTGTACAAAAGGTGGTCTTAGCCACCTGTAGTTTAATTTGCAAAATTGTTACGTAAAAGCTTACAATAACTCGATCGGTAGTATATCTGCAAGAGGTATTACGGTAATTGGTACATATCTCATGATAAAATAGAGAACTCACTTACCTTCAAAACCCGGATACTGTCTTTTGATATTAACAGAAACTTTATATAATTACCAGAAATAGCAATTATTTCTTACAGTTCGAATATTACAGTTACATTATAATTAATAGATTTGCGAAATAAAACTTACCATATGTTCCATTGCTTTTTCCTCTATTTCAGTCCTGTTCCAGTCAACACGAAAATTTAGCGGTTGTAAACGAGTTTCCATTTCACGTAACCATTTCCTTAGACACTTTACCTCGTGCTCAAAATCTATAAAAGAAATAACACGAGTCAGTACAATAAACATAATTGTTACTGTTGTAAATTGTATACTTATAGAATATATTTACATCAGATCATCAATGCTAAGAAAATAAATATATTACTTTAGCTAAAGTATTAAAATAATACTTTAAGTAGGAATATAATAAAATAAACTATATGTTATGTCCATCTACAGTTCGATGGAATCAAATTAATGAAATTCTCATAAATTTATCATTGTATATTACGAGTTAATAAAATAGAAAGTTTTGCATCTACTCCAGATCTTTGTTTATCTACCATGATTTTTTTCGTTAATCAACGCTTTTATAATAATTATACTAACTACAATATTGATCAGTTGATAATCCAAGAATTTAAATAGCGAGGTTCTTGAATGAAGGTACCTCCTACAATTTTCTTTTAGTGAATTTCACCGTACAATTTTTAAATAAACATTACGCTTTGAAATCAGAGTAATCTTACGTAGACTTCGTGAAAATTACTTTACTCATTTAAAATCTTTCATTAATTATAAGATATCGTTTAATATGATACATAGTTTTAAATATGTGCACTATCAAATCTAAATTTTTTACATAATCCATATGTATACAATTATGAAAATATAAAAATAATATTTCTCAGCATCTTGAAAACTTAAATTACAACTCAGGTAGGATAACATAAAGAATTATAACAATACTCAACAGTTCTGATTCCAATTGCAGAATTCATTTGAAAAAAAGACAAAATAAAACTCGTTGACTTTATAGAGAACATATGATTATTCAATTCATCAAGCGATTGTTATCATATATTTGTGTTTGTGCTTTGACATTGTGCTCATATTAATAATATCAGGTACAAAGAAATTTCTTTAAGATTATAGTGACTTTATTAGAATTTGAATGTTCAGAGAAGAATACAAACTACACTTTCGAAAATATATTGTTATATCTGTCTTCTATTTAACTACTTCTTAATTCTTCATCTTGAACCATTTAATACTTTTGAAATATGTGTACAATACCTTCCTAAGAATTTTAGTATTCTTTCGATCAAATAAAATGTTCATAAATTCTAGAACCTTGATTGTCAAGCTCTCGCTGCTTTACCAGACTATTTTGAGCTCACTCGATCAATTAATCATTGCTCATCGCATGTAGAGTACTCTTATAATTTACATTAACTCGAGTAATAAAATTACCTGCAGAAACATCTTGATTATCGAGTTCATCGGGTCTTTGTACTGGGGCCATTATTTGTTCAACGAGATCCCATTTGGCGTTTAAATGATCAACTCGCCATGAAACTTCTTCTTTTAAAGAAGGAGCGCGAGCAATTAATTTTTCCGCTTGTTCGTTGAACAATCGTTTTCTATAAGCTTTACGACGCAGTTCCTCTGTGTGAGCCTGCAAAGTAAAAAATAAATATAAATAATCGATTGAATGTCAAACCATTATTTATTCACATTTTTAAATTATTACATCTGATTACGGTAAGAAACGAATGAATACCAGTGATATAGACCATGCTATTTTATTATTATAAGCAATGTTGCTTTGTACAAATAAATTTTTGGAAATTTATAGTAAGATGTATCTTTCTCAACATCTCAAAAAAAATTTCTAGTTGTGCCTCTTTTTAGTTTATTGTTCACTTTGATGTTTGGTCCAAATTTCGCAATATTTAATTTTCACTTTCGATAATGATAAATACCAATACATAAACTTCATGCCGTAAACGTAAATTACAATCTGCAGAATATTTTTTTCAATAAACATACCGCTCGTAAGCTTTTGTCCAGTACGTTTTCCTCTTTCGAATAAACCAGCTCTTGAAGAACTCGCAACCACGAGTACAGTTCTGAGAACTGACAACTGACTTCCTTCAATCCCCAAGAAACAGTTGAGACATCACCCTCATCCCAAGCCAATTCTCCATTTGTTTCCTGTTTACACAAGACAGAAATAAATTAGCTTTATGGTGAAAAGAGCAAATGTTTTCGCTATTTCAAACTATTTGTATTTTATGAATTTTGTACCAACAAAAAAAAACACAGTATATAACATTATATAAAAAATTGTGTATAAAAGTGTGTGTACAAGATATTAAACAATCACATACCACTTAATCAGTTGTCATTCTGAACCAGCTCAGAACGAGAACCAGTTAGATAAAATAAAACACGGAGATACAATTTTCATCTCACATTATGTTATAATAAGTATTAGGTATGATCAGTTTTAAATATAATCCTATGTGTAACGTCATATATAAAGTATAGGATTACGTATTAATAATGTACTTTGCCATAAAAAAATAGAAACAAAATAGTTCACGATCGATTATTAACATTAATAAAAATGTATTTAATCATTGCATTCCTACAAGCCATTGAATTTCCGTTAAATCATACCTTTAACTTACAGATTTTTAAATAAAGACACGATAACGATTTCAAACAATCTTTACTTTTGACATGAAACAATATCATGATCACTTATTCAAACGAGCTATCTTAGCATAAATGAACCAGATAAATGTTGTAATGTACTGGAAAAACCAACCTTGCAGGTGTCGATCAAGTTCGTATCCATAATGTAATCATAATTCGTTCGTATTGCTGCCCAAAAGTCATCTTTGCCGTCTTCTGGACCTGACCAGTTTTTCGTTCCTTGATCTTGCATTGGTTCTTTCCTGTTTTCAGAAGATATTGATTAGTTACGGATTCATACAAATTAGTGACACGAGGTATCAAGTAGTTATTAATAATCATGGCGACTATTGGTCTACAGATAAAAATATTTTCTCATACTGAACACTCTTCGGTAGAATATTCTATTAATGTCTGACCTTTTCTTGGTGAGGCTATTGTAAGGCCGATCCGCTCTGATCCTCGTGTGTTCGGCTCTCTCTAGGCTATCGCTAGAGGGCTGCAGCGAGGACAGCGAGAAGCTCATCTTCATCTTGGAGGCCTACGACAGGAGATAACAGAGAAAATCCAACAATTATTACAACTTCCATTTGGCCGATGAAGACAGCGGGGGCAGGTGCTTCTATATCATTACTACGAGCAATTTTCGCGGTCTCTCGTACTACAAGCTGTACGCGAGCTACTTTCTGCTACATAACAAAGGCTGACTGTAATATTGGCGTGATGCACGATTTCTCACGATTATTAGGCAGCGCGCGCGCATAGAGACGGGAGTACGCATCTTTCGCACCTTTTCATCTGCTAATTTCTCCAATTACGCCGATCGAGTCTCTTGCGCACGCCTGCGTATTAAACCTCGGAAGATTCATGTTACACATAATGCATATGCGTATACGTACATGCACTCGCGTTATGATATACACAAGCTCAACAACCAGTTGCCTCATTAATAAACATACGAGTGCTGTCCGAGTTGTGCACTCCGCGTCGCCATTGTTGCCTCATTAAAAAGTCTTCATTACAAGAAGGCGAACAGTTATTTTGCTTTTTTGTTGCTGTTATCTTTGGTGCGTTGTACGGATATCGGTAAATACGTGCTTTTCGAAGCATCAGATCGAGTTTAAAGTATCCAGTTGAGCCTCGAAAATAAAAATGAAATTCCAATCTGAATACGGAATGCACACCAACACGGAAGAATTTTAGGCCCAAGAGTTTCACTCGTGAAAAAAATTTTCATTATTTTCCGTTGCAGCTTTCATTACTTTGTAAATAAAGCTGCTATTATGACTTTTCTCATTTTTTAATGGACAATTGAAGAAAGTGTTCAAGACTGCATTATAAAAGCATTACGCAAATGGATAAAAGCAAGAAATTAATTTCAGAGACGGATCTAAGAATTGTTTCTTAGACAAATGTAATTTTCACATCATTCTACTTTCTTAAATAATTAGCTAGGTCCTGTGAAATACAACGAAAGTGCTTATATAAACGACATACTTCTTAACTTTGATGAAGTTCTTAAGATTCTAAATTCAAGCAAAGATAATAACAGCTTTTACAAGTAAATTGAAAAGTGTTTATAATGAAACGGTGTCTTTTGATCGATTGATTGATTACTTTCGATTTAAAATTACACTTTAACAACGTACACAGCAAAAATTTTACTTTCATGCAAAGCCAATAACTCGATAGTATAGTATATATATCTATGCTGCCAATTACACGCAGCGAAGTTCAAATCGTCAGTTTCGCTCAAAACGTTTCTCCTTTGCGGTTCACCATTATTATCATCATCATTATCGACGTCTACTAGTACTGCAACTGCAACGACGACGACAACAGTAACAAAAATCGAAACCGGAATGCCGCGCAGTCGACGTTTGTCATTACGAAAGTCGCTCTCCTTTTACATCCACTTTTGTGTCAACGCGAGAGCAGAGAAAAGCCAAAGTAAAAAGAAAGATCGCCCGAGAGCAAAGAGAAGAAAGGAAGTCAGTTGTCTCCCCAATCTCACTCGAGACAGTAAGCACACTTGTGAAATCGGTAAACATCGTCGCGGCATATCTCCCGAAGCACCTGCGCACGCGTTCGTTGTCGAACCGACAGCGGAGCCCTAAAAAGGCAGAAGTAAGAAAAAAGAAGCGTAGCGAGAAAAATAAGCGTGGCGAGAAAAAGAAATGCTGTGGTAGCGGCGGCGCATTCACAAGTGACTCATTGGCGACAGTGCAGCCATCTAATTGCAGCCGCATGTTCTCGTAACGGGGACAATACAGGGCTTGCGCGTGTACGTTATCATAGTTGAAGTCGACGCGCGCGTTTACCTTTTCGTGACATCAACACTTTACGTGCCGCAGTCGCGGCTTCCTCTTTCTTTTCCCGGTGGCTATGAAAACGCCGAGCTTGTACAGCCATGAGAACGAAATGCTCGCGCGTAGGCGACTCCATGCGCCGAGTGTCTCTCGACGAATCTCATCTTTGACTCGAGAATTTAAACGATCACTTTGTCGTAACTCAAGAGCCCGGCGATATCGTTTATTTCGCGTACGAATGAGCGTTTGGAAGATAGGCTGTGTCGAGGGCCGTGATTGATACTCGCTTTTGTAAATTCGCAAATTATGAAAACACGCTACCTCCATGAGAAAGCCTTCACGCGAATCTCAGTTCAGTTCAATGCACAATTAGTGCCTGGCAAGTGCTAAAAAAACGCTGATAGATTTACGACCATTTCATTTGCTCTGCACGGTGAAATGAGAGTGTGTTGTGTGCGTATGCACTCGTTCTCCGCAAGCTGCCCATTAGGAAACAAACATTCAAAGAGACGACGTGAACGATGAGCACTTGAGAGCCCTAGAAATAACACTGCAGCTAAAAATAGTACGAGCGCGTTTATTTTTTTTACGACGGATCCTTAAGAGCTCGATCGGAAAAAATTCTGAAATCACTCCGTTAATAATATATACCGGCGTATATCGCTGTGAGAGATATACGGCAATTTTAGCACGCGGTAAGGAGTATTAACAGACACCGATGTATTTTTGTCCACGAAGCCCTTCCTGCACATTCGATTTCACTCTGTACGAGCTTTCGATATGTACTCATTAAAATGCTATTTGTAATCGAATGTGCGCAGACCGTGCAATCATATTTGATTTACTTCTGGTTGGAAAGAAGATTCGAGCATACAGACTTTCTATTGAATGAAAAGTTAGAGAGCAAGAGTGCAGAATCGAAAGATATGAATGTCTACGATTCATAACAATAGTCTCTTATATACGCCAAAGGAAGTGATAGTTTAGTGCCGATTCGTATGCGAAACAGTTTACAACGTCATTAATTCAGAACATTTGTAGTTCGAGAAACATTTAATTCGACTACGCGGGCACACGCACATGCATAATGGCAACAATGAGTTTACTGTAGCGACAGAACAATAGCGCGCATTGTGCACATGTACGGCTGGCCAAGAACAAGATTAGCCGCGACCGGTCCGATGTCTGACCAAGTCGAGCTATTACTACTTATAGACGGCGCATTGTCATTCCCATACTGAACGCGTACACCGTTGTCCAGTAAAAGGATTCGTTGCATTCCATCAACACAGTAGCGCAATAAAATATTCTGTAGATAGTTGAGACATACGAGTACAATCTCAAAGCGAGAACGTAAGCTTGCGTGCCATATTAAAAATCCAGTCTGCATTGTGCATGTCTCTGGACACCTAATCTCCAAGTCCAAGAAGAGCTATGTTACACGCCGTAAAAATGAGCGTAAAGATAAAGGGAAGGCAACACGAGAGAAGAAGTGTGCAGCCGGTGTCGTCGTTCGTTGCTGCATAAAACACACCGGACAAGGAGCTCCGAACGTCATCTTGGCGCGCGACGAGGAACGTTGAGGAACGAAAAGAAGACAGAGAAGGAGACGGCGCGCCATTAAATTGCATTCTCGCCGAGACTTCAACGCCGGATTCTTTTCTATTTTGATCTGAAACTAATGAGTAAATGATAAGGCATCGATCGCCGCTGGGAGGCGTGCAAGCCAGTGCGCAAATCAATGTCCGAAGAAACGAGCGATCTGCTGGCGGTGCGCGCTCGTTGCACGTGCAAGCCAGTTGGAAATGAGGCGCTCGCGGAGTGTCAGTTGGTTCGGCGGACTCTCGCCAGCTAAATCTTGGTGCACGCGCGAGCAACGAGCCCCCAGTACCAAAGTGCCGCAAGTTCGTGCGAGCGCGAGATAGCCGCGCGTCAACTGTCCAGATGGCGGATGTATCGAATGATCGGCCTCGCTCCGGCTTTACGGCCTTTTTACGCGCACCTCCGAGCAAATTGCCAACAACTACCCCGTGCGTACGCCATTAGGTTCTCGAGTGCAATTATAGGTTTACGTACGGCTCGGCCTACATCCTGCACTGGCTACTCTATTCTCCTGCTGCCTCGTACATTTACGAGTGCGTGCAACGCGATATAAAGGAAATAGCCTTTTAACAAATTGAGAGCTTATGTGATTGCGAGTTTTTCGGGCCGATTGACTGCTGAGGGAATCGTGTGCGTGTGCAGCGTGTATCGGTTGTCATAACGACAATCACGCACGCGTACAAACAATATCCGTGCAGGTATATAGCTGGCAAAGCAAATAATCGCCTTGCGCTATATCAAGGTACCACTTTCGGAGACTTCGTTCTAATGGCGCTCCGCGATATGAGAAATGTGTCGCAAACAATGAGCATATTGTGGGATCTTGCACGTGGTCGATTACATGCAAGAGAAACGAACGGAAAATATTGCTCCGTCTTCTTTTTCTTCCGCGCATAATTCAACACGGTTTTATTGGGTATTACTTGCATTTGTACGCGACGTTGCAAAGCCTTGACAATCACTTTTACGGCTTCCTTAAGACGATGTATTGTAAAAATATTGCCGAAGCGAAAACTATCAATATCCGAGTGAATCTTGCCTCGCTTTTTTTCAGTCGATAATGCAATCTGATACGTATTATGGTAAAGTGATATCCGTGTCAATACGCATGCGCTTAATTACCCCTGGTGTCTTTAGCAAATGAAGCTAGTCGAGAAATTTTTCAATGACAATTTATGGTTACAGGGTTCATCAGGTAATTACGCACGTATATCCAATGACTTGCGATTTTATTGTATACCTGACGTAAGTTTGAAAATTGTTGATAGTCGAAGACGTTGGTATTTACAGGGAAGCAATTTCACGGTAAAAATAGATTTTCGCTCGAATCGTCAAAGAAAAAACCGGTTTCTGCCAACCGTCGCCACGTCGTACAGCACTTCGCTCGAATAATTGAAAAGAATTGCCAGTCTGCACTTTCTATGCTCGTGAAGTTGTAGCCGATATAAAGTTATTCAGCGAGGCGAGTCATATCAGTTAGTTGGATGAGGCATTTTTCGCGTGCTTCCATTGCTTCGGACTACTACAGCATTTGATTCTAAGAGAAAAAAGGAAAAGAATTCACGGCGCTCGCGTACGCTTCATTTGGCTTTCAACTGTCGAGGCATTTATCGCATTCTAACCTTGAACA